TCCTTGTGGACGTCACAAGAGATTCCGCGATGTTCTCCTTTGCAGCCTTTGCCTCATGCATGCGAACGATCGCAAGTTACATCCGATGAGATTTCGTCCTGTGGCGGTGCAGGCTACATGAAACCTAGCCCTGTTCCGAATGAAGTGAAACAATAGATGCCTTCCGTCGAATGAGTTTTTAAAATTTGGCCCACCTTCCTTCAAAAGCACTCCAGATGAACATTATAGAACAAATGATAATTCTTTCATATGTGCTGTTGCTGTGTTTCGAGCTTTGCACCATATATCTTACAAGCTGCTTATGTTTTGAACAAGGGTTAGGAATCACGCGGATATAAACACTGGTTGAAAACTGGGAAGCTTCTTGAAATTTATCAGGTTCACTTTTCCTTTTAGATGCTACTATGGAAACGACAAAAGATGACGCAGCGGAGACCGCCACGTATGTCTTGTTTACTTTAACAGAAACAATTTTTGAAGACCTTCGCAGATTATTTGTTAGCAATTCTATTTAGTCGGACTACTTTTGAGTTTCTTCATACCTTGCTGAATATTCCAGTCATTTCAGGACCAGGGAAAATGAAATGACGGCATCATCGTCAAAGCAGAACTCGCCCAAGAAGATTTCGAGAACACAAAAGCGTTTGACTCAGAGCCTCCCTCTGCAAGCACTAGCTGGAGAACCACCTTGTTTCGTCCAGGAAGCTTCTTTCGAAGGACCCTGTACTGAACGATATATTGAAGCTGATACTGCGAATCGTGCGCAAATCGTGGCTCTTGTGAGGCCTGAAGACCTACAAGTTGAAGGAGCAACGTCGTCTAACGAAATAGGCTTGAGCTGCATTTTTGAGAGATCCTATGAGAACAACGGTGCGCACCATATCGAAGGGGATTCCGCAAGTTCATCCACAAGTTGGAATGAGTGCAATATCAATGCCGAATTCTCGAAGAAGAGCAGGTCCTCAAAAGTAAGTCGGAGGATGAAGGAAGATAATCTGTACAGAAATGCTGTAACGTCCAGCAGAGCCAGACATGCACAGTCAGCTGGTCTGAAAAGTAACAACGGCAGCTCCGATAACTCCTCCATGAACCCTGAAAATAATGCAGAGAAGCACAGCATAATAAGGACCGGCGAAAAAACATCATTTGCTGAGCGAAACTCGAACATTCTGTTGAAAAAGACTGCTAATTATCAAGATCTTCTAGCAATGGAAGAGCAGTACCACACGGCCGCCATCGAGGACGGGGAAAACTATGCTGAGAAGATTTTCGAGAAACAAACAATTGATCAAGTTGCTTTTAGCGAGCAGAATTCAAGGGTTCGGTTGAGAAAAAGTGACGAATACAGGCACGATGACATTGAGAAATATTTGAATGCAAACCAGTCCGACCAAACCACATTTAGCGAGCGCACGGCTAACGTACGCTTACAAACCTCTAGCGTAGATCAAAACCAAGACAGCTGTGCCGAAGAAATTCTGAGTCTGAAAACAGCTGAACAAACGTTTCTCAGCGAACGCACCGTTAGGTCCTCGAGATCAAAGAGAGGTGAGCATGTTGGCTCCGAGAAAATTTTGAGTCAAGCGGCAGTCGAGCAAACGGCATTATCTGAATGTTGGTCGAAAATCAAATTGACTGAATCTGGTCAGCATCATCAAAGCAGCAGCTCTGAATTATTCAGTGGTGACAAGATAGTGAACCAGGCCACTTTTAGTGAACGCTCCTCGAATTTTCGGCTTCTGAAGTCCAGCGACTCTGAAAACGTCATCGAAAAGACCTTGAACGACATTCAATGCAGCAGGGCCACCCTAAGCGAGTACAGTTCCAGTGTAAATCGAACCAGCTGTAATGAGAATTGCAATGGAAATGCCGGAGTGACTCTGCACGAGAAAGTAAATGGACAGATTACTTTTAGCGAACAGTCCCCAAACATCAGGCAAGAGTGCAACACACAGGACCAGTTCAAAGCCGAGGTGTTTCTCAACGACAAGATAGAAGACAGTATGAGCTTCACTGAAAGGACGGTGAAAGCCAAGATTACAAAGAAGGGAGAACGTGGTGATGACGGTGTAAAGAGGAGCATTGGTGAAAAGCCAGAGGCCAGCACCAGCTTCAGTGAAAGATCTGCAGAAGTCAAACTGAAGCGAGGCGAGCGTGAGGGCGACAGTGCCGAAAAGACCATCGGAGAAAAGTCGGAAGACAGCACGAGCTTCAGTGAGAGATCTACGAAAGCCAAACTCAGCAAGAAGAGAGAACGATCTGATGGCAGTGTCAACAGGACTCTTGGTGAAAAGACAGAAAACAGTACGAGCTTCAGTGAGGGAAATGTGGGAGCTATGCTCACAAAGGAAGGAGAACGTCATGATAATGTCGTCGAAGGGACCATTGGTGAAAAGGCGGAAGACAGCGCTAGCTTCAGTGAGAGCTCTACGAAAGCCAAGCTCACCAAACGAGGCGAGGGTGAAGACAACAGCGCCGATGGGAACTTTGGCGAAAAGACAGAAGACAGTACGAGCTTCAGTGAAAGATCAGCCAAAGCTAAGCTCACGAAGAAGGAACGTCGTGATGACAGTGTGGAGAAGTCCATTGGTGAAAAGGCAGAAGACAGTACGAGCTTCAGTGAAAGATCAGCCAAAGCTAAGCTCACGAAGAAGGAACGTCGTGATGACAGTGTGGAGAAGACCATTGGTGAAAAGGCAGAAGACAGTACGAGCTTCAGTGAAATGTCTACGAAAGCCAAACTTACGAAGAAGGGAGAACGTCGTGATGACAGTGTGGAGAAGACCATTGGTGAAAAGGCAGAAGACAGTACGAGCTTCAGTGAAAGATCACGAAAGCTAAGCTCACGAAGAAGGAACGTCGTGATGACAGTGTGGAGAAGACCATTGGTGAAAAGGCAGAAGACAGTACGAGCTTCAGTGAAATGTCTACGAAAGCCAAACTTACGAGCAAGGGAGAACCTCGTGATGACAGTGTGGAGAAGTCCATTGGTGAAAAGGCAGAAGACAGTACGAGCTTCAGTGAAATGTCTACGAAAGCCAAACTTACGAGCAAGGGAGAACCTCGTGATGACAGTGTGGAGAAGTCCATTGGTGAAAAGGCAGAAGACAGTACGAGCTTCAGTGAAATGTCTACGAAAGCGATCAGTGAAGCTAAGCCTAAGCAATGAGTCGTGACCATCAGAACGACAGTGTTGCAAAAGCCCTTGATGAAACGGCAGTTGACAGTGCGAGCTTCAGTGAGAGGTCGACGAAAGCTAAGCTCACGAAAGAGGGAAATCCTCGTGATGACAGTGTGGAGAAGTCCATTGGCGAAAAGGCAGAAGGTAGTACGAGCTTTAGTGAGAGATCAACCAAAGCTAAGCTCACGAAGAAGGAACGTCGTGATGACAGTGTGGAGAAGTCCATTGGCGAAAAGGCAGAAGGTAGTACGAGCTTTAGTGAGAGATCAACCAAAGCTAAGCTCACGAAGAAGGAACGTCGTGATGACAGTGTGAGAAGACTATGTGAAAAGGCAGAAGACAGTACGAGCTTCAGTGAAATGTCTACGAAAGCCAAACTTACGAGCAAGGGAGAACCTCGTGATGACGGTGTGGCGAAGACCATTGGTGAAAAGGCAGAAGACAGTACGAGCTTCAGTGAAAGATCAGCCAAAGCTAAGCTCACGAAGAAGGAACGTCGTGATGACAGTGTGGAGAAGACCATTGGTGAAAAGGCAGAAGACAGTACGAGCTTCAGTGAGAGGTTGACGAAAGCTAAGCTCACGAAGAAGGAACGTCGTGATGACAGTGTGGAGAAGACCATTGGTGAAAAGGCAGAAGACAGTACGAGCTTCAGTGAAAGATCAGCCAAAGCTAAGCTCACGAAGAAGGAACGTCGTGATGACAGTGTGGAGAAGACCATTGGTGAAAAGGCAGAAGACAGTACGAGCTTCAGTGAGAGGTTGACGAAAGCTAAGCTCACGAAGAAGGAACGTCGTGATGACAGTGTGGAGAAGACCATTGGTGAAAAGGCAGAAGACCAGTACGGCTCAGTGAAAGATCAGCCAAAGCTAAGCTCACGAAGAAGGAACGTCGTGATGACAGTGTGGAGAAGACCATTGGTGAAAAGGCAGAAGACAGTACGAGCTTCAAGTGAAATGTCTACGAAAGCCGAACTTACGAGCAAGGGGGAACCCTCCGTGATGACGGGTGTGCGAAGAACCGATTGTGAAAAGAGTGCAGAAAGACAGTACGAGGCTTTATGAGAGATCAGCCAAAGCGAAGCTCACGAAGAAGGAAACCTCATGGTGACAGTGTGGAGAAGACCATTGGTGAAAAGACAGAAGACAGTACGAGCTTTAGTGAGAGATCAGCAAAAGCTAAGCTCACGAAGAATGGAGAACGTCGTGATGACAGTGCCGAAGGGAACTTTGGCGAAAAGACAGGAGCCAGTACAGCTTCAAGTGAGAGATGCAAGTGAAAGCTAGCTAAACATGAATGCGTGACCATCAGAACGACAGTGTTGCAAAAGCCCTTGATGAAACGGCAGTTGACAGTGCGAGGCTTCAGTGAGAGGTCGACGAAAGCTAAGCTCACGAAAGAGGGAAATCCTCGTGATGACAGTGTGGAGAAGTCCATTAGCGAAAAGGCAGAAGGTAGTACGAGCTTTAGTGAGAGATCAACCAAAAGCTAAGCTCACGAAGAAGGAACGTCGTGATGACAGTGTGGAGAAGTCCATTGGCGAAAAGGCAGAAGACAGTACGAGCTTCAGTGAAATGTCTACGAAAGCCAAACTTACGAGCAAGGGAGAACCTCGTGATGACGGTGTGGCGAAGACCATTGGTGAAAAGGCAGAAGACAGTACGAGCTTCAGTGAAAGATCAGCCAAAGCTAAAGCTCACGAAGAAGGAACGTCGTGATGACAGTGTGGAGAAGACCATTGGTGAAAAGGCAGAAGACAGTACGAGCTTCAGTGAGAGGTTGACGAAAGCTAAGCTCACGAAGAAGGAACGTCGTGATGACAGTGTGGAGAAGTCCATTGGTGAAAAGGCAGAAGACAGTACGAGCTTCAGTGAAAGATCAGCCAAAGCTAAGCTCACGAAGAAGGAACGTCGTGATGACAGTGTGGAGAAGTCCATTGGTGAAAAGGCAGAAGACAGTACGAGCCTTCAGTGAAAGGATCAGCCAAAGCAAGCTCACGAGAGGAACGTCGTGGATGACAGTGTGGAGAAGACCATTGGTGAAAAGGCAGAAGACAGTACGAGCTTCAGTGAGAGGTTGACGAAAGCTAAGCTCACGAAGAAGGAACGTCGTGATGACAGTGTGGAGAAGTCCATTGGTGAAAAGGCAGAAGACAGTACGAGCTTCAGTGAAAGATCAGCCAAAGCTAAGCTCACGAAGAAGGAACGTCGTGATGACAGTGTGGAGAAGTCCATTGGTGAAAAGGCAGAAGACAGTACGAGCTTCAGTGAAATGTCTACGAAAGCCAAACTTACGAGCAAGGGAGAACCTCGTGATGACAGTGTGGAGAAGTCCATTGGTGAAAAGGCAGAAGACAGTACGAGCTTCAGTGAAAGATCAGCCAAAGCTAAGCTCACGAAGAAGGAACGTCGTGATGACAGTGTGGAGAAGACCATTGGTGAAAAGGCAGAAGACAGTACGAGCTTCAGTGAAAGATCAGCCAAAGCTAAGCTCACGAAGAAGGAACGTCGTGATGACAGTGTGGAGAAGACCATTGGTGAAAAGGCAGAAGACAGTACGAGCTTCAGTGAAATGTCTACGAAAGCCAAACTTACGAGCAAGGGAGAACCTCGTGATGACGGTGTGGCGAAGACCATTGTGAAGGCAGAAGACAAGTACGAGCTTGCGAGAATCAGCCAAAGCGAAGCTCACGAAGAAGGAAGAACCTCATGGTGACAGTGTGGAGAAGACCATTGGTGAAAAGGCAGAAGACAGTACGAGCTTCAGTGAAATGTCTACGAAAGCCAAACTTACGAGCAGGGGAAAACCTCGCGATGACAGTGTGGAGAAGTCCATTGGTGAAAAGGCAGAAGACAGTACGAGCTTCAGTGAAAGATCAGCCAAAGCTAAGCTCACGAAGAAGGAACGTCGTGATGACAGTGTGGAGAAGACCATTGGTGAAAAGGCAGAAGACAGTACGAGCTTCAGTGAAATGTCTACGAAAGCCAAACTTACGAGCAAGGGAGAACCTCGTGATGACAGTGTGGAGAAGACCATTGGTGAAAAGGCAGAAGACAGTACGAGCTTCAGTGAAAGATCAGCCAAAGCTAAGCTCACGAAGAAGGAACGTCGTGATGACAGTGTGGAGAAGTCCATTGGTGAAAAGGCAGAAGACAGTACGAGCTTCAGTGAAAGATCAGCCAAAGCTAAGCTCACGAAGAAGGGAGAACGTCCGTGTGAAAGTGCTGGAGAAGACCGTTGGGTGAAAAAGCAGAAAACAGTACGAAGCCTAGTGAAGATCAGCGAAGGTTAACTTCACGAAGAAGGCGAGCAATCACGAAGAAGGGAGAACGTCGTGATGACAGCGCCGAGGGGAACTTTGGCGAAAAGACAGAAGACAGTACGAGCTTCAGTGAGAGATTTGCGAAAGCTAAGCTAACAATGAATCGTGATCATCAGAACGACAGTGCTGCAAAAACCCTTGATGAAACGGCGTCTGATTCCACCTCATTCAGCGTAAAATCCGTCAAGATTGAGCCCATCAGTTTAGGTGATAATGGAGAATACTGTACTGAAGAAATCCTTCACGACAAGTCTTCTGGTAACAAAGCGGGCCCTACTGAGAGGGAAACAGATGTAAACATTTCCGAACAGTCTTTGGTTACTGTACCAGACATCCGCAACGACCGTCGAGATAGCAGTACTCAGCCTGGTAGCACTGGAGAACTCTCTGCAAAGGATGGTCATCTGAAGGCCATAGAAGTAAGCAAAAACATATCGTTGTCGAAGTCCAGAGAAAGCACTTATGCTGAGAAGATTTTAGACAAAACTGTAAACGAACAGGTCTCTTCGGATGAAAAGTCATCAAAAAATTCAGTGGTCAAAAGTGAAGAGCTTCCAGGCGTTCTACACGCGACGCCGCGCCATAGTGTTCCCGATCAGAAATCGGCAAGAGAAGAGCAGTCTTCGACGGCTAGAGTACACAAACAAGATGTTGCTCGAGAAGTTAGTGAGGAAATTTTCGATGAGAGAAATTCAACTCGAAGCACGTCGAATAATGAGTATTCAAGTGTTTCTCTGAAAAAGCCTTGTGAAGAGAAGTGTGCATCGGACGTAACCACATCAAGACCAACTGACAATCAGACGTATTCGGAGCTGAGTAAGACGGCATTCTTTTCAAATCAGA